TTACATATCGATACTTTGCTTTTTCATTGATCCACGATGGCTCTTGATCTTTTCCCGCCTTTTTTCTAAAGGTGTGCGTCTCCTTGAATTTCTCCTGATGGGGAGGTTGCACACCATCTCCAGACTTAGTCTATATTTCAAAATATTGATAATGATAATGCAATATATTGGTTAGTATAAATTGACAAAATTTAATATTAAATAAAATCTAATATATTAAATTTTTTATTAATTAAGCTTGATTACCATCCGCATCTCATGGATGCCAAAGCTAACGGACCCAGTGGTGTGAGTCACCCTTTCCCCATAGCTCCTATTCTTTGCTCCCCTTGCACTGAGCCTCTTATATTCATCAGAGTCCCAATATGTTAGCAGTTGAGGCCATATATGAGCTGGGATCCAACATGGGACATAGGCTGAGTTCTTGTCCCATTTCATCTTCTCATCCCTGAGATTGTCACTTTATCTATGTTTCATACAATTTAGGAATGCATCTCGCACATTGCGATTATCTGCAGGATCCCACTGGTAAAGTGTCTGCAAAATAAGAAATAAATAACATTAGATGTATGAGAAATGTAAATTCTAGTTTAGTAATGAAATTATTTATTTTTATTAGAAATTGCTAAATCCATTCATTTTATTAAATTTGCTAAAATTGAATCTTACCTTGAAACAATTATAAATTTCAGCAATCTTACTCTGGGGAACACGCTCGTATGTGAAATACGGGCCATCAAAACGTGACTTCCATAGTGAAGTGATAACCCGAGGGATGTTTGGATCAGCAAACTGGAGCTTATCATCAGTGAGTTTAACCCATTTTCTGCTCTCTCTATTTTCTGGAGGGCGTATTCCTTTGAAATTCCTGCTCCGCCCTTTTTTCCCTGTCGAGGATGAAGGGCCCTCGTTTTCATGATCAGGTGCAAAATTATAATTCATTAATGGGTCAATCATTTGTTGTATATCCGAAGCCACGCTACTATCAGTAAACAGCTGTGGGTGATTAAAATTGTGTTGCTCTTGTGATCTTGAGGAGGAAGATCTCCTCCTTGCTGAACCTGCAGGATTTCCAGACATCCTGAAAAATGAATAACAAAATAGTTATTAATACATTTATACAAATAATAAATAACAAATTTAGAACAATCATACAAT